ATTGTCTTTCTCTGTTCGTGTTTTCCACTTCCACCCTCTGAAATAACTGTAGTATTTTTGTTTGTGGGTTTGTCCTGGGCCTTTGTTACACGCCTGGAAGGCAGAGGCAGGGATATGTGTCTTGTTTTGCTCACCGTAGTGCTTATAATTGGTGCCTGGCATGTGTGAGGTACTAGTAAATAAAGAACGACTGTAGGCATGATTATGATAGTGGCTCCTTCCTGAATCAGCATGTAAACCTGATGCCTCCTCACCCTCCCTCTACCCAGCCCTTGTGTGCTCTAAAGTGTGGAAAAGAAAACAGTGATTCAGATTTATAGCACCATGCACATGCCTTTATTATTATCTCACGCTCCTCCACATGTTTGTGTAATACCATCACTTTTCTGCAGCCATGGAGATATTTTAGAGGTGCGTTTTGAATGCTACATTAAGACGACCTTCTAGAAATACTGCCTTAGTCATGCAAAAAAATTAAATTAGGCTCCTAACTCACACCATACACAAAATTAACTCAGAATGAATTATGGATGTAAGATCTAAAACTACGAATCTCTTCAAAGAGTGACTCAGGGTTAGTCCCTGGTTTCTTAGACACCAAAGCACAAGCAACAAAAGAAAAAATAGATAAATGGGATTGTATGAAAATTTGTGCCGAAAACAATCAAGGAAGTGAAAAGATCCAACAAATGGGAAAAATATTTACAAATCGTGTATCCAATAAGGGACTGTGTCTAGATTATATGAAGAATTCTCAGTGTGCAGTAAGACAGAAACAATTTAGAAGTGGACAGAGAGGACTTGAGTGGACGTTTGTGAAAAGGTCTGTGGATCACCAGTAGGCACAGTGGTCAGGGACTGCCGCTCACAGCCTCCTCAGGTTCCAAGCATGCTGTCGTAATTGGTGTGACTTCCATCTTTTTATGGCTAGATAATACTCCCTGTATATACACACATATATATATTGACACCAAGTTTTCTTTATCCATCCCTGTATAAGCATTTAGGATGTTCCCACAACTCTTGGCAGTTGTAAGTAATAGTGCGATGAACATGGGGCACAGATATCTTTTCAAGATAGTGATTTACTTTCTTGTGTATAAATACCCAGAAGTGGAACTGCTGGATCCTGTGATAGTTCTATTTTTAATTGTTTGAGACCCCTCCATGCTCTTCTTTATAGTAGCTATAGCAATTTACAATCCCGGCCACAGAATATAAGGGTTTTCTTTGCCACTTGGAGCCTCCTGTCTTTGTGATAGTAGCCACCCCAACAAGTGTGTGGTGGCTCCTCATTTTCATTTTGATTTCCTGTATGATTAGCGGCGGGCCACACTTTTCATGTACATGCTGACCATTTGGATGTCTTTTTGGTAAAATGTCTATGTAGTTGCTCTGCCCATTTTAAACCAGATTTTTTTAAAAAAAAAATTTGAGTTATACAAGTTCTTTGTATTTTGTCAATATTAACCCCTCATCAGATACATGATTTATAAATACATTCTTACATTCTGTGAGGTTGCCTTTTCATTTTGTTGATGGTTTCCTTTGATCTGCACCCAAATATTTGTTGAACTGAAATAACAGCAGCATTGCAGTTAGAGGAGAATGAGTTAGACATTAAAAACTCAGAACTTCCTCTCCTGTCTATCCCTGTTTCATACAAACATCATGACACCATAATATCTGCTGAACCTTTTACAAAGCATTCTCTGGTATCTTAGCTTTCAATCTACAAGCAACCTTGTGAGGTCAGAATGTTAATAGCCATTTTGCAGAGGAAACGGACTGAGAAAGTTTAAGTAACTTTACTCCAGACCCCATGGGACATTGCCAGATTTAAAAGCCAGGGCCTTCCCCCTGTACATGCAGCCCCTCAAATTCCTACATTTATAATCAGGTCCCTAAAAGTTGGTGGCATCCCTGAATCTCAGAGCAGGCCAGATGGTTTGCAAGCCTCTGAGTTTGTCTCATGTCAGAGTCAAAAGAGAAATTACCATTCTGGTTCTCCATTATGTAATGTAGTATCCAGCGAGTCTCTGGCTTGAGCAGCCAAGAGTTAAAACCACCAGTGGAGGCACAGAATAAAAGTCAGCAGTCAGTTTTTCTCAATCCCTGTGTTTTGTTGTAAACATATCTGGAGAGGTAAGAAAAATTGATTCTTATGATCAGATGCTGGTTCATGCTGTGCCCATGATTTTGTTCATTTTCTTCGGAGGAAACAGGTAATGAGCCTGCCTGCTTGCTGTTCCTGTGACTGAGCTAGTTCTGCTGCACAGCAGTTGGGGAAATTCAGTTCAGCAGCCATTTGTTGATGTGCCCAGCAGGGCGTGAAGAGCAGGGGATGCTGGGCTGCGTAAGCTCCCCCGTCCTCATTCCCAGAGAGTCCCTGGAGTCATCTAGGTCCTTTAATCGTGGCGTGCACTTGTTCTCTGGAGGATTCGGATTAATTTGCATTTACATTTTGGTAAAATGTATTGTCACTTGGTCAAAAAGTTACTATCTAATATATAAGAACTTTTTGTTTGTTGAATGTACAGAAAGAGAAGAAAGGACACAAATATTTAGAACATAGCAGTGATTACCAGCTACACTTTCTCTTTAAGCCAACCATGTTGATTCAGATTTTGAGAACATTTCATCCCCTACTAGAATCCATGTGTAGACTATAAATGACAGCAAAAGGATTTACACAATTGAAAGTGAAGCCAGCTGCCCCTCCATGCACATTTGCCAACTTACCATGTCTTTGCATCATGGGAATTTATTTTAAAATGTTAGAAGTAATATACCAATTTGATAGAAGTGAGGGGAAGAGGAAAATCACAGGATATAGGAAAACTAGTCAGTTAAAATGTCACTTACCCTGAGACTGAGGGCAGGTGGGCAAGTTACTGATGCACCTCCACCCCCTCATCTCCACCCCCTCATCTGTAAAACGGGGAGGAATTAACACCTTTATGAGATATTGCCAGGACCAAACTGGTAACAGATACAACCACACACATACACAAACCCACAATAAATGTGTAACTTATTAGAGCAAAAATAACCATTTTTATATATTCCCTTTTACGTATTCCCTTGTCTTTCCTGTTTTTTTCTTTCTTTTTAAAAAGTTGTTTTCTTGTACTTTTCTTAACTGAACGTCATTACATCCTCATTTCCCGTCTGACTATGTGTGGTCACTGTGATGTCTGGTGGTGGGCCTGCTTCCCGTTGGGCCTTGTGTACTGTCAGTTTGCGCAGTCGTCTGTTGCTGGACATCAGCAGCATCCACAGGACTTCAGGACTTACACTTCACTAAATTCTGTAGGCCCCTGCACGTTCACGTACTTCCTGGGAAAGCCTCGGCAGCTGCTTCCTCTCTGTGCCTGTGCTGCCTCGATGCTGAGTGGGGACAGAGAGCATCTACCAGGAGGGGAGCCCTGTGATCAGAGGTGGGGACGCAGCGAACCCCTGGCCAGCACTCAGGACCCATCTCCTCTTCCCTCTGGTGGAGCTTGCTTCCTTGGGCCAGCTCTCCAGAGAGGGGGTTTCTTCCTCACTGCTTCCCGGAAGACCTTAGCTCTTTACCATGTCACCAGTGTTATGTGAAAGGACCAATTTCTCTACACCCTGACTGGTCATCCCAAGTGTAACTTCCCCTTTGAGATAGTGAGACAGAGTTCCTCCGTATATGGGCAGTTTGTAATGACCAGGGCTCACTCACTGCCCTGAACCTCAGACCTCGTCTCACAAGGGCGGGAGGGGGCCCAGCTTTTTTCTAAAGCTTGCCAAACTGTGGCAAGCTGATCCTTTGAAACTGTTTTTTTCAAATTGCAGCACCAAATTGCAGCAAGTTGATCCTTTGAAACTTAAAAACCCAGTAGCGTATTTTATTCCTCACTGGAGTACATGCTGTTGGGTATCTTTTCTTCCCAACAAGCCAATGGTTTGCTGTAGAAAATCTGGGTGGCAGATAATTTCCATGATCGCTTCCCCCCTTCAGAGGAAAAAACTGACAAGGATGGCCACATGACCTAGTTTACCCAGGTTATATTTGTTTATAAACCAGTTTATTCTCGTTTAATTATCATCATACCCCCTTTACCCTCAAAGTGACCTAGTTTGGATATCAAATTATGTTGTCATGTCGTCCCAGGGAATTCCTCAGCAACTGGGGTCTCTGCCCCCCCTGTGCCACCTCACTCCTCCCCTGAGCAGCTTTCTGTCTGTCCCCCAAAGCTTTCAGCCACACTGCTCTCCCCAAGCTGCCCTGGGAGGCCCCCCACATGCACAAGCCCCTTCACAGTGTTAACCCAGTGTGCCTTCTCCCAGGTGTTCCCCAGTGATTGTGCTGATGATTGCCAATGCTTAGGCAGGGCACTTTAAATTTGTTTCAAAAGTTGCTCTTTGTCTTTCAGAATGATTTATTTTGCAACTTAATTCATCCCACAGGCAAACATGAATGTCCTCATTTCTCACCGCTTGCAATTTTAAAAATTCTATCTGCTTTCAAGTTCATCTTAAAGGTAATGCTCTTCTTGCCAGGATGTTTAATACTCGTACTCTTGCCCTTGTTAGGTACAATAAGATTATCTTCATAAAAACCCTCAGAAACCCTCCCATGAGCACACTAGGCAGGGCCCCACCGCTCTTGTTCCGTCTCCAGAAGGGACCACAGGCAGGTTCCACGCACAGGATGGACATTTGTGACATAGAAGCTTCCACACTGGAAAAAATGAAAACAGATTAGTGTCTCAGTGGAGACACCTTTGCACTTGGGGGGCTGTGTGTTACCCGGCACAGGGGCTTTCCAATGTCTCTGTCTCTTTCCCAAACAAGGGCCCGCTTTCCTTGAGTGACATGTTCCCGGTTTTCTCAAGAAGGGAAAAAAACATGTTTTAAACAAGGGTCCTGCCAGGTTGAACAAGCTCAGGACAGATGTGGGGCGGACGTTCATAGCTGAGATTGTGGGTTCTCAACAGTGTCTTTGTTACTCTGTTTGTTTTAACCAGGTGACTTTCGGATGGTGGTTGGAGAGGACAGGACCAAAGTGTCAAACATCGTGAAGCCCAACATTGCGCACTTCCGTGAGCTCTACAGTGCCATACTGCACGAGAACCCCCAGGTGGTGTATAAAGCCCAGCAAGGCAGACTGGAGGTGAGCTGCGCGTGGATGCGACTGGCAGGCACACCCGTGAGGCGCGGGCTGGGCTCCTGCCTGCACCCACAGGCCCTTGTGGCCCTACAGCGAGCCTACCACATGCATGCAAGAGTTACATCTCCGCTCTGCTGTAGTCTGTGGAGTGTGCAGTGGCATCCTGTTGGGGAACTGAAAAAACATGCATACCGCAGTTAAAGGTGGTGCAGAGACACAGAATGAACATGTGCTGGTGGGCAAAAGGCGATGCTGGTGGACTTAGTGGACCCACGGCTGCCACACACCTTCATCTTGTAAAACACAACAAAGCCAGCGCCATCTCTGAGAGCACAGTAAAATGAGGGTGCCTGTTTGTTGTTTCCGAGGCCAGGGCTTTCTTAAGGAGAAAAGTGAGGCAGTATGACTAGTGTGGTGCATTTATGTTGTAGAAAGTAAGCTTTGCATGTAAGTATATTCTTCCGTTTATTTGGAATAATGCTCACAGGTCACACAGGACACCAGCACGAAGGGGCTCCCGTGGGAGGGGGGTCTCTTGACCATGGAATCTTTCTTGCCATTTGAGTCTCATGGTTACCTTTGGATTCAGAGGCTTCCACGTCTACTGGATTCTTTCAAATATGTTTTATTTCTGTACTTGTCTTTCATCTTGATGTCTTTTAGAATAAGTTAGGAACAGAAACCCCTGGTGTATCATATACCTATTTAAGAAATAACAAGTTTTATTGATGCAGCTATTCATTCATCTTTTGAGGGCCTACCACATGCCAGGGGATTTAAGGTGAATACGGTTAGAATTTGTCATCAGCTTATTCTTTCAACTGACAGACTGCTGTGTGGTATGTAAAAGTCCTGAAGGCAGGACAGTTAGAGCCGCCCTCTGCCTGGCCATGCAATCCTGCTGTGTGAGTGGGGGGACTGGAGCGCAGGGCTGGCTGTGGCTTCTGCGAATATTCCAAGCAGCCTCGCTTCCTTTTGCTGCTGGATTGGAGACAGAAATTTAAAAACTGAGAGTCAGAAATTGATCCTTAAGGGGCATCTATTCTTTTCTTGTGTGGAAATGAGATGTTCTAAGAAGCAAATTGACTTTTCTTCAGGGACTTCGAGCCCCGAGTCCTTCGGCGTGCAGTGTCAGGGAGCAGCCACTTCAACTCGCTGCCTGCTCTGGGGCTGGGTTCACAGGCACAGGTGATTTGTAGAGTTCAGAGCACTTTCTGCACACACTTCCAAAGATGTTTTCTTTTCCCCTTAGATAGATAAAAGCCCAGAAGGACAGTTTACTCAGCTGATGTCGTTGCCCAGATCCTTACAGCAAGAGATCAATCATATTATGCACTCTCCTGGGAAAAACAGAGATGTGGAGGAAACTCTGTTGCAAGTCGCTCATGATCCTGAGTGTGGAGAGGTGGTGCGACTAGGTGAGTTGGTGACCTGGACGTCACCAGTGACATGGGAGAAGATGCTAGCGCTCTGGGGCGTCTCCACATCTCAACGTCCACTTACTTGGAGTGGAGTGTTGAGAAATACTGCTGTTTTCAGATTCTGGGCATGAAGTCACACTCGGGGAAGCGGTGTTTCTCTTGGTCCCAGGAGCATAACTTCTGGAAGTTATTTCAAAGAAGTGTCTGTTCTTCATGGTGGTCAAAGGCAGGTGGCAGGTGGAAAGAAAGGAAAAGCAGGTGGCCCTTTGGAGGATTTTATAGCCTCCAGAGACAGCTGTCCTAAAGTAGCACCGTCCTCACTGGCCCCACCTCAGGTGTCCTCTCTGACACGGACCCTGCCTGCACTTCATTTCCAGGCCTCCCTAACATTTGCCAGAAAATCGGACCCTTATCTTCAGGGAGCATTTCCACTGTGGTGGAAACGGTGATAGATGAACTCAGTCAGTAAAGAAATAATTATGAAATTAAAAATCACCACCTCCCTGAGGGTCCTGGGCTGTGGCCTTGTCCTGTGCATCTGCTGCTCCAGGACCCAGGCCGCTGGGGTCAGCTGCACTGGCTGGCTCTACATGCCCTGGCTTGCCCAGGGAACTGCCCCAGGGCATCGAGCAGTGTATCGGTCACCAGGTACCTGTGCTGAAGCTGAAAGTGGAGGCAAAGCATATATTGTTTTTCATTTTAACAGGGTCTTGGGCCCTGTGTGAGCCCTGCTGCCTTTCTGAAGGTTGTGATGGGCTGACCTGCGCTCCTCACTGAGAAATCCTCCTTGTGTGTTTTCAGAATGAAAACTCTTCTTTTTCCACATCTGCCTTAAGCCCACTGGAAGTTGTAACATGATTGTGAGGGTCACCTGGCCCAGCCCCTTTTGAAGTGAGGTGACCATGCCTGGAGGGCTGAGTCACTGGCCCGTGCTCATCACTCACATAACGGCAGTCCTCTCCCGGCCTTGGATCATGACACCTTTTTCGTTGTCACTCTGACAGCAGGACAGAGTTAGATTTGCTGGTTTTATTGAGTAACTGGAAAGAATATCTTGTTTCAGGGGCCTCCCCCGTGGCCCTGGTGGCAGCGGTTGAGCGCTGGGCTGCAAAGCTGCCCGCAGCCTCTGCAGTGCCGGTTCGATCCCTGGCTGCCAGCGAGGGTCCCACATGGTGGACAGACCTCTCCTGCCGCGCCCGCTGCTCCCCACAGCAGTGTACTTCGTCCGTCTGCTTGTTCTGCTCCCTGCTCTGGCTCTGGTGAATTCTCTCACCCTCCTGCGCTTCTGACTCTACCCAGTGCTTGTATAAATAAATAAATAAATAAATAAATCTTTTAAAAAAAAAAAAAACAAATACCTTGTTTCAGGCATTGAAAGTGTTCAGGTGACTAACATCCTGGTCGATTCTCCTCATAGGACTCACAGCGATCGTGAGACCATCAAGCGTGAGACAGAGCACCAAAGGCATTTTCACAGCTGGTAAGTGCTTCAGAGAACCCTGCTTGCTGCCTGTGGATTGAGTGGCCCGGCGCACTTGTCAGGTTCTGTGTCCTGAAGTTCCTTCTGAAATGTGGACCTGGGTGGTTGTGAGCTGGGACGTGCAGTAACGTACCTCCCAGGGCACAGCCCTGGAATTTGGCACCTGAGAAAGGCCACAGGAGGTGCTGTGGGAAGGCATCTGCCCCTCCAGGATTCCTGAATAACTCCCAAGTCCGGGTTTTCCCCTCTAATTTTTATATTTCCGATAGTGAAACGTGCATGTCATTGAGAAAACATCAGGACCTCACCCTTTCCCACCTCATGCCCTCCTCCGAGTCACTTCTCTTTGGCCGTTTCGTTTTCAGCTCCAGTTCTCTAATGGCACTCCCATCGCTGCATCCCTGCAGATGTAGCCATCCCCTGCTGACTCCACTGGAGCGGATTAGCGCTCTGCCCCTTCACCCACCCTCCCACGCCCCTCCTGGCCCCTGGTCCCCCCATGTGGGTTGTGGCTTTGGTCAAGTCGGTCTCCAGAGTGGACACTGTGTGATGTGTTCATGTGTTCCTTCCTTCCCCTGCCAAAGCCAGCTTTTTCTATGGATTGTCAGCACCTGTCTCCCCTGGGGGGTGGGGCTGGAGGGAGCCTCCGTCTTGTCTCTGTACCACATGTCTCTTGCTCTCATAGTACACGTGCTGATTTCCAGTAGTTTCCTGAGAAGGGGTGCATGGGAGCAAATTTGGTACCAGGTGTGCCTGAAAATGTCTTTAGTCTCCCCTCATACGTAGTGGAGACTGAGGCTGGACATAGATGAGAAACCATTTCTCCTGAGACTTGATATCGTTGCTGAGATGATCTTACGGCCAGGGTTGCTAAGTCCAAAATCATGCTAGTCTTAACCGTGTGTATGTTCTGTCTGGAAGCCCCTCCACTTTCCCTGGGCTCTGAGCTCTCTCAGTGATGTGACCTGTCCTTGTCTTTATCTGGGCATCCTCACCCTGGCAGTCCAGGAGCTCAGGCAATAAGAGTCTAAGGCATTTTTCTTCTTTCTTTACTTTCCTCCCTTGTTTTCTCTCTCCTCTCACTGGACTCCTTTTGTCCAGATTTTAGATGTCTGGATCTCTAAGAATGGTCCTTCAGTTTTCTTTTGCCTCCAACTTTTTTTTTATCTCCTCCTTTGACTCTCTTTGTCCTTTCATTTTACTTTCTTTTAAAACATGCTGCTCTTATTTTATAGACTTAATAAGCATTGAACACGTCTTTATGTCCCATATTGCTAAATTACCCTCCACAGTGCTTTCATCAGTTTATAGTCCCACGAGCAGAGTTCTCACTTGTTTCTCCCCATTATTTCCAGCACTTGGCATCATCAGATGATTGCCTTTTCTAGTTCAGTCTTTATGTGGCCAGCTAGGGTGCCATCCTTCCTGCCTGTAAGAAGTTCAGAATCCAGAAGGGTAGACAGCGCTGTAATAGAGACTTGCACTGCTGGGGCATGAATGGCACAGAGGTACCTGAAAAACAGGATGCTCCTCCAACCTGGCTGAGATTATAGGGAGCTGGCACAGCACCACTCTTAGCGTCTCACCCCAGAGGCCTAGACGCAGTGCTGAGGGTTTGGCCCCACAGACACCGTGTTGTCCTCCTGAATCTGAAGACACAGCCAGACACCCTAAGAGTCAGTAGCACATGGTGCTGTGTCTACTCAGCTAAAGGCCTTCTACCCGGGGGTGCGTGGCTTTGCATTTCCACTTAAGACAGATGCTTAGTCTGTGTTGCCGCTGGCCTGGGCTGCAAAAAGGAGGCACTTTGTTTGGATGGATGGTTTGGACCGTTCGTGTGTACTGTCCGTGGCGGCAGCTCCCTCGCGGCCGTCCTCGGCTGCGGCTGGATGCTCTGGGTTTTGCTATTTCGCTTCCTGTGCTGTAGGTATTATTATAATTATTGTTGGTTTTATTTAGTTGCAACAGTGGTGATGTTGTGGGTTTTTTCTTTTAATTCCTTTTTGTTTAGAAATATACACTGAGATATATATTTACAGAGGGAATGGCAGGCTGCCTGAGATTAGCAATAAATGTGGTGAGGGAAGTAAGCAGTGGAGCACAGCCGGGCCAGGAGTTAATATGTGGGTAAAGCTGGATGAAGTTACATGGGGACAATTCTTTCATAAATTTGAATTTTTTAAAATCTGTCATGATCTGCTCTTGTGATCCTTAACCTGAAATGACCCTTCATCTTCTTGCCACTTGCCAGCAGAGGGCAGTGGGTGGCACCCCTCAGACTACAGCCCTGGTGGAGGTGTCCTGGGCACACGATCCCAGGCGCTGCTGCTTGCCCTTCCTTGTCCAGATGCACACTGGGTGGTGGACGTCCTGAGGAGCATCTGCCACCTGTGATGAGGACACAGAAGTGGCCCAAGGGATGAGCCCTTTCCAGTTCTGTGTTCACTTCCTTCCGCTCTGGCTTCCTGATAGTCATGGGTGAGGAAGACCATGGCCCGGGCACCTTCACATTCAACTTGCCCAAGGTCCTTAGCATCAAGAAAGGAATTCAGAGTTGACTTGGAGGGCTGAGGGCAGCACTGCAGGGTTGCAGGAAGACTGAAGGCCATAGCCGCCAGATGGGGCGCGGTGGTGCCTGAGCTGGGTCCTTGCAGCACACATAGTGTCGGAGATGCAAGCCCTCTTTCAAAGGCACTAGCCAGGCTGGGTGATTGGGAAGTTATGCGAAATGAAAGAGTGTCAGAGTCACTCCTGGGTTTCTGGTTCAGGAAGCCATGCTTGTGGGAGGAGGACGAATTCAATTTTTTTAATCTTGCCACATTTTCCCCACCTGGCTTTTCCGGTCAGTCAAAAATAATTCAGGGCCAGAGGTCTGTTTACCTCTCGAGCTTCAAAAGCTTCAACTGAATTAACGAGACAGGTTTAGTCTTGTTCCTAAAAAGGGTTCTGGCCTCACTGATCTTTACCAGCCTTTCCTGGAACATGACAGACTGGCTTGATTAGCCTCTGCCTCTGGTTTCGCAGAACCAAAATTTTCTTCCACTCGTTGGCACCTACGTAGGTGTATTTAAAGACAAGCACTTGATAACATTAAACCTTTTTCTGGTGATGTACTTAGTTAAACCTTAAAGTTCTTAAAATAAGTTGCATTTTTATTCATAGATTAACTATAATTGGGGCTTCCTGCTTTTTTTCTTCTCAAGATCTGGAGTATGCACTTATGGGCAAGTTGACACCTCACACCCCTGCTCACAGCTCTGCTCACCTCATGTCCTGTCTGGACACAGGTCTCTGTCGGATATGTGTAATGATGAGGTTCTCCCCGGGGGCTGCCCCTGCGCTCCTCCCTGCTGTCGGGTGAGAGGAAGGGCTTCGTTTCTCTTTATCTCATCCACCCTTTGGTTTTGTCTTCTATGGTGAGCAGTGTGTTGTGACCTCCCAGCAAGGTGTTGTGTTCTCCACCTTTGCTGCAATTAGAATATTAAGGCAAAAGGACTCTAATCTGTTGGGTCTTCGCTTTGGCATCATGGCTGCCTGTTAAAACCCCACTGAAACCTCGGGTCTGTGCTGGGGTGGGAGACGCTGCTCATGAACCACCAGCCATTCTGGAGATGAGGAAATGGAGGCCCAAGAGGGTGTCTCAAAAAGTTGTGGCCTGCCTGAGACTCGAGCCTCGGAGCCTTGACTCCCACGCCAGTGCTCTTTCCCCCGATCCCTGCCCAGGCTGGCTGAGGCCCTCTGACTGCAGACCGGAGGAGACTGTTGCCATCAAGAGAGGTGCTATCCCCGAGCAGCAAAGGGTGGCTGTGAGATGTCATGTGCTTTGTGTGTGACCCTGAGTGCTTAAGGGCCCGGGGTCCTGGAGTAAGGTTTTTGAGGTTGAGCTGGGCCCTGGCAGGCTGGCACATCTCAACTGTGACTCAGTGCCCAAGGGGCTGCTGTGCTAACCTTATTGTCTGCAGCTCCCTGGGTGCTGCTGGGCTCTTGATTGGTTCTAGCTAGAATTTAAAAAGTGCCTTATGTAATAAGTTTCCAGTCTCAATGCTCCAGTGGGCGAGGTTTACCAGAGTGGTTGCTCCAGGGAGAAAATTAAAAGGGGTGGAGGCAGGGGAAGGACTCAGAGCCTCTTGACTCGGCTCTGCCAGTTTGCACGTTGTCAGGAGACAAGGCTGGCCGGAGTTTCTGGCGGTGTTTGCTAATGATTTAGCTGGTACCCAGGCTTTTACCTGCCACTGCCTGAGAGAGCCCCTTCACAGCTCCCAAGTGGACTGAGCAGCTCACCTGTCGTAGCACCAGGTATTTCAGGGTATTTCACCCAGACCCCAGTGCCTGCAGCCTCTGGAGCCGCTCCTGTTACCTGCTCTGCAGTGCTCGCCCCGGTGTACTGTGGGTACCTCTGTTCCCATTTCCTGGGAGCAGAGGCTAAAATTCAAACTAAATGACCTCATCCTCAGCACAGAGGAAGTCAAGCCCATAATACCATCTGCAGATAGCACCCTGTGAGATCTGACAGGCAAACAATATCCCGTTTGTTTCCCCATTTTACTTCTTTCCATGAGCCTCTCCAGTTCCGGGGGGTACTTGTGATTTAGTACCTGGTAAGCGCTTAAGATGAGGGTGCTTGGAGATCGATACCTGAATGAGGCACACGTGTTCCATCTTTTCAAGCCTGTTTTCTGAGCACCTACTGCGGGCTAGGTACTGTAGTAGATGATGGGGAGCAGGGTGAACAGAACAAGATCCTCAAGATCCTGTCCTCAAAGAGTTCTCCCAGTCTCGGCAGAGGGACCCTGAGTAGACAGACTAGCCCCACACATTGTGGGCAGCAGCGGTGCTGTAGACCCGGAGGAGCAACTTTGGACTGGCCCAGGCGTCTGAGGAGGGCGCCTGTCCAGGGCGGAGGGTGTGGGAAGCATCCACTCTAGGCAGGTTGGTGGCGTGGCCTGCGCTGCAGCAGCAGTGAGCTGGGGCTGGGACGCAGGCTTGGGGAGTGAGAAAGGGACCAGGGACACTCGCTTCAATATGGCCTGGTCTCTGTCCTTCCTTCCTCCTTTTTAAAAAAGCATTTCTAGACTCACAGACTGCTAACGTGCTCTCAACTCGGAAGCTTCAGTTCTGCCGCTGACCCTCACTGTCTCCACAGCCGGCTGCATCAGTCTTTCCCCCACATTGACCACGTGACCTTTAGCCTCTGGCTCCTGGGGTCTCTAGGCCCCAACAGTCAGATCAACTCACCCCTACTTTGCTCCAAAGACAGTGTCTGACCCAAAGGGTCAGAATCTCAGAGAAGCTCTGGCTGAGTGTCTATGCTGTCTGCCTCAATTTTCTTACCATCTCATCATTTCTCTTTTAGGCCTGAGAAAATCAGTGGTTTATAGTTCGCGAAAACTACTTAAAATGTGGAGAGGATGGCTGTGGAAAACATAGTAATTTTTCCTGCTTTTATATACAAGTGTGTCCATGAATAAAGTGACCCTTTTTGACAGAACAGCATTTGTTACTTTGGCCCATTGCTTCAATTTGAAGATGCCCTGGTTCGAAGAATACTTTATTTTTAAAATGTATTCGTCAGATGTCTGTCCAGATGGGACCCAGAGACCTTGGAGGACACATCAGAGGAGAAGAACCCCTCCTCACATACAGAACCACCCGGGCCCTGTTCTCACAGAGGTTAGCTGTGCCCTGCATTTCTTGGTCCAGCAGAGTCTAGACCAACTGTCAGTCGTCACCCACTGTGGACATGCAGCCCTGGGGCGGCTGCAGGGGAAGGGTTTTTCCCAGGGACAGCTCACACGTGTCCTGTCAGTGCTTTCCGGGATCCAGGCTTTTATGTTTCTCTTTGTTCTCCATGAAAGTATGCAGCACAGTGACATGGGGTGAGGAGCCTGGGGTAGACCGCTGGCCCAGGCTTTCCTTGTTGCAATGGTGAGTGGTGTAGCATAACAGGAACCCCACAATGCCTTCAACAAATCACCCGTTAGCTTGCATAACCCTGGAGTTCGCAGTGTGGTTGGTCTCTGAACTGGTTGGATTCAGCAGGTTGACAGAACCATCAAGGACCCAGGGTCTCCATCTTTTCTCTGTGCTCTTCACCAATTTGGCATCATACATACCAAGGCCGCTGCCCTCAGAGCCTGAGACCACTGGCACCAGCTTTGCGCTCCCCTTCCAGATTTGGGGAGACAGAGGTTTCCTGTCAGAAGTGCTCTTGGAGATCGTTCCCACAGCCTGCAGCAAGCCCCTGTCTGGTTTCAGTCAGTGGTAGCTGTTATTGTTGATATTATTTCCTTTGACATGTCTTGGAGAATCTTTTATTTACTGCCCTATAAAAATAACCAGTTGACTAAATAAAGAAATCTCCCTGATTTCTGGCCAGAATTCCTTGAAACGCTGTTTCAGAATTTACAATCGTCTCATGAAAAGCTTGATTCCCAGGGCGCTTCCCTACGAATAGAGAGCTGTGGCTTCTAAACATTTTCCTTAATTAGCCAAGTGACCTTGGAGAAGGCTTTGAATTTCTGACCAAAAGCTCATGATCCGGTCCCAGGTCATCTCTGCCACAAATCAGCCAGAAGGCATCGGGTGTCACTGATGGGGTGGACGGTGGGGTGGCTCACTGGGCTCCCAGAGGAGCAGGCTTCTTGGTGGGGGGGGCAAGAAAATGTGATCAAGACCACAAACAAAACAGCCCAACACATTGGCTGCCTCTGCCCACCGGCTTCCGTCAAGCTAGCACCGATGAAGCTGATACCCGACCCGAGAGCAGAGCTTCTTAGAACTCAAGACGTGGTCCTATAGCTCCCTAGGGGCTGAGGGGTCTCCATGGCCGTGTTAGCTCCAGCTGAATCATGGGTTCTCACTCTTGGAGGTACTTTGTGGCCAGTGAGCACTGCCTCCCAGGTCCCCCAAAGCTGGTGGTCACCTCAGCCACCAAAGCATCCTCAGTGACCAGTAAGAAGCTCGGGGCTGAATCGGTGATGCCCTGTTTGAGAAGATGTTCGCTGACCTGTGTGCTTCATGGAAGAACATTCCTGCGCTGGTCTTTCCTGCTCTGGTCTTACCCGGGGAAGGCCCACTCCCCTGATTCCATAGGCACAGGCCCACATCTTCAAAGCACTTCTCACTAGTGAAGGATTAGAAAGGATAGGGGAAGTAACATTTGCTGGAGGCCTGTAAACACGAGTTAGGTTATGAAAACTGCTTCATTTAATCCTTACCCTACAATGCAGAGATGATCTCCCTTCTCCCCTTTCTTGTTTCCTTAACCAGTGAAACTCAGGGATACAGAGGTTAAATGACTGGCCACAGCCGCCATAGCTAGTACAGCTGGGGTTTGAATTCGGTTCTCAGTCTGCTCATGCTTCAGTTTCACATTCGACATTGGGCCTTGATGCAAGCTGTGGGTAATTCTTTCCAGGTTTATGCAGATGATCTCTCATAATGAGTTTCAGCCATCACTGGCCATAGGGTTAGACCCCTGGTGTGCTTTCTTCAACACCATTTCTATTTCTGCTATCAAGTGCAGCGATAAAAAAAAAACTGCTTCCTAGAATGAACTACTTCTGCAGAGATGATGCGTGACATGTCAGCACTGATGGCAAACTCAGAGACTAAACCTCCTCACCTTTCAAACAGAATGAGGAGTAATCCCAGACAGGTGGTGACTTCCAAGATCACATATACTGTTGACAACCTGGACTAAAATCTGCATGTCTTGGCAGCTCTTCTGCCTGCCTGTATCTATGCAGGTGCCTCTCTTTTTTTCTCCTTTTCCTAATAAAACTGTCCTTTTAAAATGTTAAATAAATAAATAAATGATGAAACCTGCATCTCTTGCATCCTACTTAATTACCCTTTCTCTTCAGCCAGCTGGGTAGGTAACCCAGCATAGGAATAAATTTTAACAGTGCCTAGGGCTTCAGTAACATTTATGAAACCAGGAAGGACAAATGCTCTGGACTTGGTATTCTGCCTGGTGGCGCAAGGGATTAAGCGTCAGCCCTATGAAGCAATCTGTATCTACTGCAGCGTGAGTTCGATCCCCGGCCAGGGAGGTGACCCACATGGCGCAGCAGACCTCTCCTGACTCACCCACTGCTCCCCTCAGCAGTATATTTCAGTCAATCTGCCTGTTCTGTTCCCCACCCTGTCTCTGGTGAATCCTCTCCCCCCAACACACACACCTCTGGCCTGCACCCCAGTTCTTGTATGCATATTAAAAAAAAAATTACAGAACACCTACCTCACCTAAATGTAACACCCAGCTGTCGACTTGAGTTTCATTGTCCTCGACCCCTTCTGATATAACTAACCTATTGTAATAATTGGGCTAAGAAGTCATTCCCTGGAACTCCAGGTTACAATGGGTGATGTTGAGCACATTAGAGGTTGAGACAAGTGAAAATGTAGGAAAAGTCTAAAGGCTATTCGCAGAATTTCATTCAACCGGTGTGAACTCAATATCTCCCAAGAATAACATGTTGCTAAGCAACATTGAGTCAGGATGTGCCAAGAGGACTGTACTTGTCACCCTGCCTGCAGTGAGCTTATAAAGTTGGGAGGACAAATTTACCCTCATGTGATACAAGATGAGAAGTAATCAGTATCAGAGAGAGAGAAGTTCATTCATTGATTTAGTCATTTAATAAGCATTTGATAAATGCTTACAGTATGCCAGGAACAGGAGCACCAGTAAGGAGCAAGACCTTGTCCCAACTCCAAGGATCTTACAATGCAGAAAAGTAGTCAGGTAAGTAAATTTGGAATTACAATTCTCACAAATGCTCAATTATAGGGGTAGTTGTACAGTGTTATAAAAGTAATGACAAATATTGGTTGAGCCATTATGGTGTGTCAGGCACTATTCTAAGTACTTTCTATACCTACTCATTTAATCCCAACCACAGCTTTATGAAATAGCTTTATGAAATAGTCCCTATTCTATGCCTAAGGAAACGGGCACAGAGCAACAATACCTCTTACACAATTTTACAGCTGGTAGATGACAGCCAGGACCCAAAACTGGGCTGTCAGGTTGGAGAGCCTGCCCTCTTCACCTCTTAGCTAAACTGTCTTTCCGTGACGTAGTACCTGCCCAGTCTGGAAGGAAACAGCAAGTAGATGTCCAGCTTGTTACTTTAAGAACAAGTGGGAGTTAACCAGAGAAGAGTATCTCAGACATATGGAAGAACTTGTTGAAAAGCCCTGAATAAATAGACCACAAAGTAAAATTAGCTCAAGATGAATAAAATACCAGGCTGATGTTGTACAGAAGTGAGGGTGGAAAAATGACTAAGCTGGATAATGAATGGTCTTATAAGGTCCATTAGTGTATTAAGCATTATCCCCACAGCAATGGGGAGCCAATGACGGGTTTTGAGCTGGAGAGTGGCAAAACCAGATTTGCATTTTATACAGTCATCATGGCTGCAACATGGAGAATGGATTAGGAGGGCGAGACTGATCATCCAGTTGAGAGGTCTAGAGCAGAACCATTGAGAATGGACCGAAACGGACATACGGAAGCGGTTTAGTACAACTGGGAGGCTGGAGAAGGTGGTCTCAGGATTCTGGCTGAGGCAGCAGAGAGAATGGCGTCCTGTTTCTGCAGTTGGAGAATCTGGAGAAGGAGCAGATTTTCGGGTAGCATAAGGATGGTGACACATTCAAGTCTGGACTTGGCTGAGTTTGGGATGTCTGTGGGGGATGTTCAGTAGACAGTAGGCTACACAGGTCTGGAGCTGGAAATGTAACTGTAGGAAGAGTTGGAAGGTAGTAAGTGGCGTTAAAGATGCCATCTAACTAGACAAGATTGCTCCAGGGACTCTGCTAAGCATGAAGAGAAGAGAGCCAAGGTCAGGGCTGTGGATCCCAATGTGGAAGCATCAGCCATGATGGAGAGGTCAGAGGAAAACCTGGAGAACTGGGTGTCCAGGCATGTAGGGGGATGGCAAGGAAGCATTGTGTTCATGTTCCCCGAATAATTGATTTTCCCCTCCCTCGGGTGCCCCATTCTGTGGGAGATTTTCTTACCCCCATGGAATTCAGGTTCAGCCTTGTGACTTGTTTTGGTGAATAATATAAGGATGGGAGGGACATGAGCAGAAACTTTAAGAGCCAGCCCAGAGCTTACCATTCCCATTTTCCTTCTGACACGCAACTGACAATGTTCTAGAGAGAACAGAGTCGACCACCAGTCTGGCTCCCCAAGAGAGGACCCACAGAGCATAGTCACAGCTGACCCACAGTGCACACTCAGCGTGAGTGGGGAGCCAACATGTCTCAACCGTTTGAAATGTTTGCGTGCCAAAATGGTAATATCTGGGCTCCATTGGCTAACTATGTTGTTCATGCTAATCTGAGCACCAAGTTCACCTGTTTCTTTTTACTCCTAGACAGTTTTAAAAAACGTGTGGCTCCTGTCCTATCTCCTTGGCCACATGTCACGGGCATTTCAGACAGTCCACATACTAGTGTCTTTTTGAAGTGGGACAAGGCTATTTCTCTCTTCGTTGGATGACTGGTAAGAACTATACTCATCTCTCCAGTCAACCACGACTTGCATACAGTAAAAGCTCACAAAATTTTGCTGATAAAAATGAAGACACAAGAGCATTCCATCTTGTTTTACTTCCCTCTTTTAGAAGCTGCTATGCTATTTCATTCCCTGGATTCTTAGCTTCGTCACAGGTGGGGGAGAAGATGGTGGGTGTGTCAAGGGCACGTGAAAGAAAGTGCAGCTTGCTAGGACTTGGCAATGCCATTCAAAGCCAGTCACTGCTCAGTCAGCGCACTGCTCACTCAGTAACAGGGCTACTATTTGCCCGGAGTTGTAACTACCATAAACATGCCCCTGCATGCTTTGCACAGCATCATCTGATGTAAGGCTCATAGGAGTGCCATGGGCTATGGACTGTATTACCCTCAATTTGCAGGAAAGGAAAACTCAGCTTTTCAACCTCTGGTTTACATCACAGACCTGGTCCTGTAAGATTTGAGGTTTGACCCCTTATTGCTTGCTGGCTGATTACCTTTCATTTATATTGAAAACCAGATTATTATCGGGCCTCCCTGGTGGCGCAGCGGTTGAGCGCTGGGTTGTGAAGCTGCCCGCAGCCTCTGTAGCACCAGTTCGATCTTCAGCTGCTCCCGGGCCACCGGAGGAGGGTCCCACATGGCGCGCAGACCTCTCCTGCCGCCCGCTGCTCCCCTCAGCAGTGTACTTCGGTCCTTCTGCCTGCTCTGCTCCCCGCTCTGGCTCTGGTGAATCCTCTCACCCTCCCGCACTTCTGACTGTACCCAGCGCTAAATACATAAATCTTTAAAAAAAAAAAAAAAATACAGATCACCTTAAAAATTAAAAAAACAACAACAAAAAAACAGATTATTATCAAATGATGAATTGGGTTCCAATCTAACTCTTAATTCAATTGTATTGAATTTCTCAAACACATTTACATTGTGATTTAAACTAATTTAGACCCCATTGAAGGATTCCATTCCATTTTTTTCCTTTTTTTTATTTAAATATTTTATATAATTCTTACATCTTTTTTCATCTTTGCACAATGTATGCATTTTCATTTTGGTTATATTCCCCATACAATACCATTCCGTTTTTTTCTTTGGTGAATACAGTTTACCATAGGCTTATTGTACATCTTCCTAACTTAAAGATAATGTTAAGCTTTCCTTTTTGGAAGGACCAGATGCTGCAATTTTTTCTCTCTCCACGTTCTGGAGCTGTTCTAAAATATGAAGCTACTTCGAAACAGATAACTGAATTCACAAGATGATCATTTCCAATTTATTGGGTCAGGGAGGGGCTTGGGATAATAATTTCACTATTTTTATTTGTGCTGGTTACAGCTAGCACAAATGTGGAGATGTCAGTGGTTTTATTTAACTAGAAACAACAAACATATGTTTTCTAGATATTTTTACTCAAGACAAAAAAAGCAGGAGAAATTTTTTCAATACAAGAATGAGAATTTTTTAAAATATTTAACTCATAAATGTAAAACTCAGTTATTTAAAAAATATGTGCTAAGGTTGCTTCCATCAGGTTGGCACATGAACTTAAACAACGTGTTTATTTTACACATGATCACATTTGTGCATATGATTATGTAGCTAACACTCTTCTCAGTTTCTCTTCCTTTCTGACCTTTCACAAGTCAGAAGAGAAAGCATTCCCTTTTTCCAGTTTCTAAATGATATTTTCATGTAATATTAACTCATCCAAAGGAAATATATACTCTTTCTTGGCTTATTGCTGTTAGAAGCTTAATTATCAACTCAGAAAGTGATTTGTGGTTTCGGGGGAAAGGTGTGGCCTCTGGGGTGGTCAGATCTGGGCCCACATCCCAACCCTTTCCCAACCCTCCTGCTTATCAGCTGGGTGGCCCTGGGAGATCATTCATCCTCTAAAGAGTTGGATTTCCTCTTCTGGAAAAAGAGGATATCACTCACATTGCAAGCATTGGCAGGAGGCTCAAATGAAATGACAGTATCTTATCCACCCTAACATTCACATATACCATCCTCTCTGATGAAGTCCAGTGAGTAAGAGGCCCTGTGGGGTACTGGGAAGAACCCTGAATTTGAGGGGAAACATTATAACACGAGTTCAATCCCTACCGCTTGCTTGTGCTTTTCATAAGTTTTATCATTTTCCTTTGCAATAACCCTGCCAGACAGGTGTTCATGTTCCCATTTTGCCATCTGTTCTCTTAAACTTAAGTTCAAGTTTTCATTATGCCACTGTGTTACTGTGGGGACATCACTTATTCTAACACTCAGTTTTCTTCTCTGTAAAGCTGCA